AAGGTGGAGGGAGGGGCGCGGTAGGGAGGAGGGATTACCTCAGTGGAGGAGGAGCAGGAGCGTCGTCGGCGGCGGGTGACGACGATTGTCGGAGAACGGCGGCAGCGGACGACATGGGGTGCGGGGGAGTGAGAGAGTGGAGAGGGAGAGTGGGGGCGGGCGGTTGGGAGAAGGTAAAATTGAACTTAGCAGTAGTGCTGGACAAGATAAAGCGCTACTACTAATCTCCATGGCAGTAGCATGTTTAGCAGTAGAAGCGCTACTGCTATGCCTATACCAGCAGCGCCTTCTGCAAAACATGTTACTGCTAAGACTAGGCATGTAAAAAAATTTCAAAAATACATTAGTCATCAATGATCTTTTTGTGTAGAATCTAAATTGTCAAAAATTGGGGAAGATTCCTATTGCGGCCACAGATCCTACACATAGAGTTCAATGAAGACCAAGTGATTGTGATGGTTTGAGAAGTAATGTATTTAAGATGATAAACACCCTGTTCGCTTAGCTGTATGGGACTAAACTTAGGCGCGAGAGGGGATGGGACTTTAGAAGTAGCGGGTTTTGGCATAACACGCTACTGCTAGGCAAGTTAGTAGTAGCGCGTGTATGGGAAGGGCGCTACTATAATATATAGTTTGGAGGCAACTCCCTGGCAATTGTAGTAGTAGCGTTCTTTTACCTTAGCGCACTACTACTCACTGGGTGTTAGTAGCATGCACTTTTGAAGATCGCTACTGCTAATTAGCAGTAGCGTTTGTTTTTAAACCACGTTGCTGGTAAGATTATGTGTATAAGGTTTTTCCTAGTAGTGCCAAGAAGGAAGAAGACGTGGAGACGCCTTCATCATCCGATCCCGCGGATATGAGGATTCCCTCCGGAGCCAAGGCCGTGGGAGAAGCACCACACCAAAACGACGCTTCCAAGAAAGAGTGCGGCGCCCGCGGGCGTCGCCGTCGCCGGATCCGGCAGAGGCCAGAGAAGGATTTCTCCCGGAGATGCTCAACTACCGCAAGCCTGAACCAGCCGGCTGATAACCCACAAGTATAGGGGATCGCAACAGTTTTCGAGGGTAGAGTATTCAACCCAAATTTATTGATTCAACATAAGGGGAGCCAAAGAATATTCTCAAGTATTAACAGTTGAGTTGTCAATTCAACCACACCTGGAAACTTAATATCTGCAGCAAAGTGTTTAGTAGCAAAGTAATATGATAGTAGTGGTAATGGTGGTAAAGGTAAAGGTAGCAAAAGTAATATTTTTGGTGTTTTGTAGTGATGATAACAATAGCAACGGAAAAGTAAATAAGCGAAGAACAATATATG